CCCCTGCCTCTTGTTTGTAGAAACGCTTTAGTGCCTTAGGCCTTCCCAAGTTCCAGTGACCAGATTTAATCACAGAAGTGAGAAAATGCAGAAACAAAGGAAAACAGTCAAGCAACATAAAATAATAATCGTTTAGCCATAAAACAAAGTCAAGGACATTTAGCTCCTCTGTAAGGGCTATAGATAATATCCTGGGCCATATCCTTGAGTTGTTTTGCAAATACTAAAATCCCCACCAGGTGGGAGAAGTTAACAACTGACCACCAGCACATAGACCCCAGACTGGTTAGAACCAGAAGGTTGATGATCTTGACTCCAGAAATACCATCCAGTTACCTCACCACCAACCAATCAGAAGAATGTCTACCAACTGATCAGGCACCCTGAAAACCTTTCCCTCACACTGTCTTTAAAAACCCTTCCCTGAAAGCCATTGGGAAGTTCGGGTCTTTTGAGCAGGAGGTGCTGGGTCTCCTTGCTCAGCCCCATGTTGGGCACCTTGCAATAAATGTTCTATTTTCCTTCACCACAACCTGGTATCAGTAGGTTGTATTTGCTGCATGTAGGGGGGTAGCAGACCCAAGTTTAGTTTGGTAACACATCCCTGTGCAAATTGTTTGCAAATAAATCCTCACCTGAAAGGGCCTTAATTTTTTTTTCAAGCACTTGCTCTTTCACTAAGCCTACCTAATTCTCATTCTCTGCACTTCTCAACAATTATCAGTAGAGAGAGAATTAATATTATTACTTTGCATCACTATTACTACTATTATTGCTTGACCTTTACTGCGTGTTTTTTATTTTATGGGCCAGCAAAGTGTATTAAATCACTTAATCTTCACAAGTCTATTTTACACCCATTTTACTATTGAGGAAACAAGAGGGTTAATTAATTTGCCCAAGGTCACACACCTAGTGAATACGTGTTACTGTGTTTTATTTTTTCACTCTCTACATGATGTGTTTTCAAAATGTGTGTTAAATGAACCAAATCAACCTTACAGTTCCAGGAGCAGAGACTGAGGCATCTATCATTTGTGTTTTGCCGCTGAAAATTTAGTGTGGTTCTGGGTCTCGGAGAAGTGTCTGTCATGTAGAAATAGCAGCTAAGTAACGATACCATCTGAGGAAGGTGGATGGTAAGAATTAGATACACAAAAAAACTGCTCAGTTTTAAAGGAGAATTTTTTCTCTTGCATTTTGGTTGCATTTCTTATTAAGGACCAGTTAATTCTTGCTAATCAGAAGACCACGCTTCCTAAATTATCTAAGCAAAAATTTCTCCTTGAAGTATTTTTTTTCCCTAAAAAATTCCAGTAGAAAATTCACAGTTCTGGAAAATCTACAATTGCCTTGTTGCTTTAGTATTTGAAGATTGGGGTGAATAAAATTCAGAATATTTTTATTAAAAAAAAATCTATCCTAGTTTTAATTACTTAAAAATATAAAATCTTTTTAAAATCGGAGTTTAAAAAAATTACTTCTGTAATCTCTTAAGCAAAATTTCAATTCCTTATTATGTAGGTTATTTCCTCATTAATACATAATTTGGGATTACGGATGAACATATCAATTATTGAGAAGACCCAACCATTACTGAGCTTTCAGCAATGATAAGACAGTCAGGTGCACAGCAAAACTTCAGCCTAACAACATCTTTTTAATATTATGTCCCTGGTCAAAGAACTACATTGAAATGCTTGGCTTGTATCAAATTTCCTGTAAAGATGTTAAAAATCTTTATCTCCCATAACCTATTTTAGAGAAATTTCACATGATGGATGATGCATCATACCCCAGATCCATAACTGACAAGTTTATACTTGCATCTAATAAATTCAAACAAGAAATAAAAGCAGAATGACTGGAAGCTTTGTTTTCAAATGATGTCATCAGTAATATTCGCTTTAAGGTTAGTTTTTCTTTAGGATAATTTCAGAGGCCTTGAAGAACAAGGGCCTAACTCTTTATCCAGGATCTTCAGTTTGCACCATTTTCTTCTGGCATATCCAGGATTCGGTATCGTTAAGTGTTAAACATAGAAGAACTGGCAAAGTGTGAACATGAAGAAATGTAACATCATTGTGCTTTTAATATATATCACAATATTATTAGTTTAATAAAAAGTTTTACATGATTATCTATTCACTTGAAGGTTGTAGAACCATAGTGCTGCATATCCATCTATACTTCTATTCGTAAGAGTGCCTATACATTCTTATTGAAATGAAATGTTTGAAATATTATGTACATTATTTCTAAGAAAAACATGAGCTACTTGAGAGTTTTTCTCAACTTGAATTTAAAAAAAGCAGTGTCATAGAATATTAAAGCAGAATAGCAAATGCCAGATCTTATAAATATTAACACTAGATTTATAGTATTTTAGCTTTCTAAAAAAGGAAAAAATAAACTTGTCAGTTATTAAACAATTTGGGTTTAATAATAATGAATGCACAGTTACTGACTGACATATTTACTGACTTACACTATGTTTATATGTGCTAAATTTGACAAAATTCATATTCAAGTTTGTACTTGACATGTAAATATTTTTTAAAATTCAAATTTCTTTTATTTTACCCTTTGTTTATGTTATCATCTATATTTCCATAGTTTTATCTTTGGAGAATCCAGACTTTAATTATTTTCCTATTAAAATTTTTGGAACTGCAGCTGTATTTTAACAGTTACTTAGTTCTGTATTTGTGAGGAGATTTTAAAAGGGAGAATGAGTACCTTCACAAATTTTTTAAAGATTTCTTCAGAGTCTGTAGCCAGTATCGACATGTATACTTATCTCTTTCTTTTCAATGCCATGAATCATTATAAATGTCAGGTTCATTGTTGTGGCATGCTGAAATGATTGAGTGGGAACTGTGCCCAGCACTGTGTTGTAAAACAATTGATCTCCAAACACATTGTTCTACAGCGTGCATCGGCCCAACTAGATTTTCTTTGACGCTTTCGTGACTGCTCTTTTGTTTGGTCTTGGAGAATTTAAAGCTCAAATTTGAGCACAATATTAAGACTATCTGCAGTGACTCTGTGCCTGTTATCTAGAGTCATCTACTTTTGGGATTGCATTCTGTATTTTTCCTTTACTTCAGTCATGTAATCAGAATGTATAAGTGAAGTTTGTTATATGCTATTCTAGTGGATTAGAAATCCCATTCTTTATCTAGGTGCAAATGGGATTAAATTTGGTTTTCTTGGTAAAGGAAAAGCTTAGAACCAACCCATAGCAGTCTCTTTATCTTCTATGTTAAGTCATCCCCATTTGGAAAATCCAATATTGTTTTTTCGCCCATTGGTGAATGTGTGAAAATGTATGAGTTCCAAAGTTCAGCCTTTGTTAGCACAAAAGCAACACAAGTGAAGATGTTTGCCTAGGTCTATTAAAATTGTATTTCTAGATAGAACTTGTGAATGACAAATGCTGCAGACTTTCAAAAAGAGCTAGAAAATATAGACTTGATATAAAGGATAAAGAGCAAAAGATGACAGTAAAATAAAGTTTTGAAGAAAAGAGAAAAAAACAGAAAACTCAAAGTTACTTTTCTTTTAATAACCGTCGTTTCCTTTCTTGAAGTTGTGGGATTTCCTCAATACCTGCTTATTTTCTGCAAGACAAGGGTTTATAGATGGCGCTCTAAAGCATTTGCCGGAAGGTGGCGACATAGCCCTCATTGCCTAGAGCTGTCCCAGGTGCTGAACCCAGTTTCGGAGCCCACGAGAAACTCTGCTGCCAGTGACCAGGGATTCCAGCAAGTTCTCCCTAGAGGCCTGCAAACTCTGGTTAGAAAAGCAAAAGGCCATAAAAATGCCCGACCTCATTTATAACACAAAGACAAAAAAAATTCCCTTCCCTAAATTTACTTGCTGCGGAGTTGTGGGAAATGGCAATGTTCACTGAAATTAAAAACGCAATGGAGATGGAAAGGCAGGTGTGTGTGTGTGTGTGTGTGTGTGTGTGTGTGTGTGTGTAGAATACATACCGAATTGATTTTTTTCTTCACTTTCAGATGCAGCTGTTTACCTGTCCTTTGACTGGTTCTTTATAATTACTTTCTCCCCGAATTCCTCAAAGTTAAAAAAAAGGCAGAGGCAATATCCTCCCCAAAGGAGACAGGCTGGACTGTGCGATGATAAACGGGGGTGATTTTTAAAAAGTTAAGACACATTCCCTTTTCTTTCCATGAATTAGTAATAATTTACAGACTGACCCAGGACTGTCCACCTCCCCACTCAGGCTCCGTGTGTCTCCTTTTCTCATTTCCTATTGCCACTCTGTGATGCTGACTCTACTTAAGAATTTGACAGAAATATGAAGCAATTAACGTGGTTAGATTTGTTTTCCCTCGAGTTTGGCCGGGCGGGAGGCGGAGTTATTTGTTGTAATGTTGGTCTGACCGGCGGATCGGGTGTGTGTAAGCTAGTTCTGAGTCTCGGTCGACAAAAAGGGATTTGAACGCAAAGAGGCTGAGCTAGAGGGAGAGGAGGGCGGGGAACCAGGGGAAAAAGGCACTCAGGGTTGGGGAAGTGTCGGGAGGGGAGGGTTAGCGTAGGAGAGAGGTAGACTGTCGGAGGTAGGCTGTCGGAGCAACACCGGGGAGATAAAGGGAAGTGAGAAGGGAGAGGGAGACTGAAAGGGAAAACTAGTGGGAGAAAGGGAA